ACATTATACTAGGAAGTCTCATTCTTGCTAAAAATTCTTCTTAAGTCTTTTTGAATTCCTAGATCTTAATATTCATTATTAATTGTTCAAGTGATTACAAATTATTTTACTCCATAAATTTATCTTAAATAGAAAATCAGATTATATATTATATTCCAAAACACCTGACTCATTTTTTATACTTGATTTGCATACAACCAACTTAAGATGGTGTTTCCAGTTTCAATAAGCATCATAGTTTATATATTAATAATAATTTATTACTGTTTTTATTACTTATTTCAAGATGGTTTAAAACTATAATTCAAATAACAATAAATATATTAAGAATAAAGAAAATAAAATGTATTCTTACGGAACTCCATAATGCAAGGTATAAAGCAGAAGATTCCTAGATCAAGTGGAAATCTTCCAGCAATACTAATTTTAATTTACATGTAAAATATGCAATTGTACGTCCACATGCAATTCATATATCCTGCAATTGTACGTGTAAAGACCCATTCACATATGAATCTACAAAGAAGGGGTTCCAGTTTGGCTACAATTTAATCCATTGTGTATTTAACCTAATGGCTAAACCAACCATCTCTTTATGTACTACAGAGATTATAAAGTATATATTCTTTTGATTTTTTAAGAAAGCTAAAGCTTTAGTTTTATTGTATTTATTTATTAGTTCTAATTCTGAACCATATAAACATTTAACAGGTTTGCATAAAACTAATCCAACTTCTACAAAGCTTTCTCATAGCTTTCTGTGTATTATCTCAAAACAGAATATATCACAGGATTTCAATTTATACGCTATATAACCTACATAACTGAAAAGTCCAAAATTTGTAATGAATTTCATACTTTTTTTCTGTGCCTCATTTGACATATATAGTTTTAATCATTTTGTACCTATAACTGAAAAAATTAGGACTTTTAGGCCTTCTTGTAATTTCAATTGTCTATTAAACCAAGTCCTTCCTTAGTTAACTACAAATTACAGTACATGAATTACCGTAACTACAGATGAGACAAACTTAATGTTATTGTATATATATTGTATATATATTACACAGTTGCATGTATAACTATAACTGAGGAACAAAAAAACCTGACTCTCATTTCATAAAATCCTTTAAAAATGGTTGACAAATATTTTTAAATCATGTAACGGCTGAATACTATGCATCTTTCAAAAGTGAAATTTTAGCAATGTATTATGGCTTGCATAAAATTGCCAAAGGGTTATACATTATTTATTTTTTCCAGTAGTTCTTAATCATCCTGATTTGTTCAAATACTGGATTTAGAAAAAGTATCTAAAATATTTTGATCCATTTTCTTCCATTTAAACAACCTGTGCAGTAAATTCTAAGAAAATATCTATTATTAGTAATATACAAAATTGCTCAGAATTATGGAAGTGGCTTACAAAATTTAGATAGCAGATTTTTCTGAATTTGTATATATTACACTCATTTCTTGCCAATTTTAAAAGTATCCTAACAATATTCTTATCTTGGAACTGCTTAAAGAACACCTTAGGTAACCTGAATACTGAACAATTTCTACTAAAATTTAAGCGAATTATTTTGTTTATATTTGATTAGCCATAACTCTTTAGGCATTCAGCTGCAATTAATGTTCTTTAATATTTAGCACAACAAAAATAAAGGGTCTTATACCTTAAGCATTTAGTCTCATTTTTGACTACATGAAATGAAAATGAAAAAAGAAACAATATTTGTAGTGCTACTACTACTTCCTTGCTCTTTCAGCTTTTTTTTTCTAATTCAATATTTCCTATAATTCATATATCCTGCTTCTAAAACTTAATCATGAGTTTGAACAACCATTTTCTATCTTCATACATTTAACAAAGTGTGGTCATATCAGATAATATGACTAGACCGTACAGGACAGTTGCCTACTGTACAATACAATCAGGGGTGGGTTCCAAATACCATCGCTACCTGTTCGCTCATGCTCTCGCATGCGCAGAAGCGTCCAGGTGGGTGGATGGAGACTCTCGCCGCTGCCACTACGGTTCGCCTGATCCAGTGCGAACCAGTAGCAACCCACCATTGAATACAATAGTAACATGATTAAAAAGTTTGGATTTCAATAATAGTTCATAGAATTTCCATTGATATAAACTCTTAAAATCATTTAAATGTCTAAATCTTATATTAAGCAAAGTGACACCATATACAGTATTTTTAAAAAATATATTTATTTGGTTTAAGTACCAAAGAGTAGTTGTGCTGCTAAATTCCAGTGATCTTAAAAAGATCTTTAAATATACGTAAATAGATTAGATATTTACCATATAAATTATGACAATAAGTTAACGCTGTTTCTTTTCAAACCATCCTTGAATTATGAAATATTTGTAATTTGAAATATGCTTTCTCTGCATCATGTTATTGAGATACAAGTAAGTTTGATTGATATAGATCCAACTTCTTGTACAATAATATATAAATATTATTGAACTGTTTCGATGCTAATCAACTTTATTTTAATAATAGATTTATTCATGATATCTAATGAATAAATATTCATTATATTGCCAAAACAATATGAAATTAATGTTTTTTAAAAATATCTAAAAAAATAAAAATATTTTTAAAAGTCTAAAACCAGACAGCATAGAAATAAATTATTCTGCTTGTATCCACTTATTTGGTGTAGTTTCTTGTCCCATCCTAAACCTTTATCACTTCACTATTGCACTTAGTATTAAAACATGGAAGTAATTAGTAATTATAAGAAAACTTAAACCTATACCATTTATGGGTTTATTTAGACAAAACCTTATCTTAGACAAAACAAGCAGATCAAATTGAATCTGAGTACAAATGGCAGAAAGTAGATAAAAATTATCTAGTGTTCTCACTCCAGAGACAGGAAACAAGATTTTGTGCTAGCTGATGTTTCTCATCTAGCAAGAACTTTAGAGTGCCGAATACCTGTGGTTCTTTAAATCCAATCACTAAGGTAATGTGTGAAGCCATATATTTGTCTGATGATCTGTTACCTAAATCTTTGGTTCCTAAAAGAATCAATAAACCCCTCCCCCCCTTAAAAAAAAGGGGAGGTAAGAAATTAGGGTTAGAGCCCTGGTAGTGCAGCAGACTAAAGCACTGTTATTAAAATCAGCTGCCTGCAATTACTGCAAGTTCAAATCTCACCAGGTTCAAGGTTGACTCAGCCTTCCATCCTTTCTAAGGTAGGTAAAATGAGGACCCAGATTGTGGGGGCAATAAACTGACTTTGTATAAAATATACAAAAGTATGAAGGCTATTGCTTAACGCATTGTAAGCCGCCCTGAGTCTCCGGAGAAGAAGCTCTGTGCTTTCTTTCCAGAATGAGCCAACTGGACCCTGAGCTAGGCCAGATAGATAAAAACATCCATTGTTTATGTAAAAGATACTATTCTGATGCAGAATAGCAATACAATGTAAATATTATCATTGGGCTGTAAAGCTGTGTCCAAGATCAGTATTTCTAGTACACATAAAAATCACATAATGTATAACCCTTCTATGCATATCAGAGAGGGTCCAGCAGTGGCCAGCAGAAAAGGAGGATATGCCAGCCTCCATGCTAAATGCACTGAGGCAAATGGAGCTGAGACCTCAGCAATGGGTTTCCTAGAGGACAGGACTGAAGCATTCTCTAAAAGGTGTAGGCTCAGGACCAAAACAAATATTAATGCTTGTACAAATTATTTGGAATATATTTCTGGTTTAGGCCTCGCAACTGCAACCACTGCTCAATGCCTAGCAGTAGAAAATATTGCCAACAGCTCTACTTATTATTTGGTTTTATAATACTGATAACTTAAATGAAGATGTTTAGAATATTAAACATGAACAACCTTTGCCTTACATTGGAGCAGAAGAGTTTGAAATAAACTTCTTGCAGAAGATGCAGGACTGCTTTTTGTTATGATGTTTGTCTCTGATGGGAAAGGTATATTTCTTTACCAAACATTTCAGGAGCTGCCATATATGTTCCTCAATTCAACAAGATTAGGATAATCTCTCTTGATTAATCCAGTGTGCATCTTTCACAGAGATGAGACCTTGTTCCAAACCAACTATAGATATTCCTCGATTTATGACCATTTGTTTAAATGGTTCAAAGTTACAATAGCCTTGCAAAAAGGCTACGCATAATTATGACTGCTGCACCACCCCACAGTCATGTGATTGCAATTTGGGCACTTGTAACCAGCTTGCAGCCATGTGATTTGTGATCTTTTTTGCCAATTTCTGGCAGAAAATGCCTATTAGAGAAGCTGGATTTGTTTAATGGCTATATGATTCACTTAACAACTGCCATAAAAATTGTCATAAAATGGGGTCTGACTCAATTTATGATCGCAACGAAATTCTAGTCTCAATTGTATATTGTAAGTCCCACATTTCATGTAGGACAAAGTGGGAGATTATTTCTTTTTGCTATTATACAATTCTTGCAGTTTAAAAAGAAAAAAAATGAACAAGCAGAGATAATAACATGGCTTCCACTGATTTAAATATTTTGGACAGCCTAGTGGACCAAATATCCTATCTAAACAGAAAGCTTGTATTTCTACCAAGAAAGAGTGAATGATCTTTAGAAAGCCTCATTCTACCCCATGCCTATCATCTCCTGCCATTTCTCCAACCTAAGATCTTCCATGTGAAGAGAGTAAGGGCAGCAGTGGCTTACTCATGAGCGGGCATCTAAAAACGGTGATGTCTACATACACCCTTTAAAGTCTAACATTTGGACAACAGAGTTTGGATCTAACAGAGCTTTATTTGCATGAATAAGATGGATTACCATTAGAGATTATAGAGGTTAAAAATCACTGCCCCAAATGGTACATTGCTCAAATCTTATTAAGTGAACATGCAGAAGCTTCCACAACCTTTATCAGTCCTCTAATTTTTTTTGCATGGCACAACAGAGTAGCTACACCATGTCCTTACTGTTGCACAAGGCAGAAGACTTTTTCTTGCCTAAAACCAAGTAAAATTAGTGTCCCTCAAGGCCACACTAAAAACCAAAACCCTGGAACGACATACAGAAGAAGGCATAAGCATCTTCAGAGATCGGCTCCCAGGTATATCATGCAGAAAAGCACTATTCTGCTAAACTCAAAGGTAATGACAGGTATCTCTGCCGGGGGCGGCGCCAAGCGGTCCAGCGGAAGAAAGACTTGGATCCTGGGCCTCGGAAAGGTGCTGCCTGAAGTGCGAGCCGTCTTCTTTCCTCCCCCTCCTTTGCGGCACTCTTAAGGTCCCAATAACCTGAGACCGGCGAATCTGAGCAGGAGAGGGACTGAGCAGCAGATCCCTCGCCCGGAGGAGCAGCAGCAGCAGCTTCGAAGGAAGCGCGTGCACTTCAGCAGCGCGTGGCTCAGGTTTCTTGACTAGCCTTGGCCCGGGCCTGGCGCGCGAGCCTCCCGTCTCGCGTTTCCTCGCGTCTTTGGGGAAAAGTCTACGAGGCGAGCGGCTACTTGTGGGAAAGTGCAGCACAGACGAAGGAAGAGGAGGAGGGAAAGGCGGCGAGGCAGGGAGGGGTGAGAACTCAAGAAACACACGACCCGGGCGCCTTCCGTCCTTTCTCTTTCCTTCCCTCCCTTTCCTTCCCTCACCAGCCACTCGCTCTCAGGCAGAGGGCGCTTTAGCCATGCCCGCCCGCCCCTGCGGTTACCGCTGCCGCACAGCTCCACGCGTTGGAGAGGCTCCCGCTGCCCGTCCTCTGCTAGCGCGGCTGCCACTGACAAGGCACCCGAAGAAGCGAGGAGGTAACTGAAGCCGGCTGCTGCCCCTACCCAGCTGGCTGGCATAGAGCCCCCTGGCGGGGCCGGGGGCTGAAGAGGACACTTTCCACCTTTCTTTTGCCTCGGAAACTCCGTTGACCTCCCTCAGCTACCGGGGGAGCCCGGTTCGGATGTCCGGTTTCTTACGGTCCCTTTTTTCCTAATCAACCCCACGTAACTTTGGAAGAAGACAAACGGGAGGGGGGGAAAAAAAGAAAACGCAACCGCCGAGAGAGCGAGCGAGCGGGCCAGCCAGCAGGCGAAGGGGCGGGAGGGGATTTCGTGGCCCCTTCCTTTGCTCCATCCCGGGGAACCGGCTGCTTAAAGGTCTGCCAAGCGAGTGCCAAGAGTGGAGGAGAGCCCCACAGCGTCAACCACACGCTGTCTTTACGGCTTCTGCGGTCGCGCTTGCCGCCTTTTGCACAATGCACTTGCTGGGATTATTCTCTTTGGGTTGCTATCTGGCTGCTGCTGCTGTCGTGCTGTTAGTCGCTCGCGAGCCCGCGATAGCTGCTGCCTACGAATCCGGGCAGGGCTACTACGAGGAGGAGCCCGATTTGGGGGAGGCAAAGGTAAGCGGGGGGCCCCAGTTACTGGCCTGCCCCAGGACGAAATGACTTCACTTTGCGCTAGCTCCCCAAGCATCATGTGATGCGATCACTTGATCTAGATTAAGCACCCCTCCAGTACATACCCGCCCTGACAGCTGTTTTAAAAACAGAATGATCTGTTGGTTGCTATTCCTGCTGGAACGTGGAGTTAAGATTTAGAATTCTCTATATAGATATTGAGCGTGGCTCCTAGGTCTGACTCTACTCACATTGAGTTGATACGTGTAAATATTTGCCACATATTTTAATTTGATAATTCTTTGCTCTGTTTTTGTTAGGAGATTATAAAGCTAATTCTTGGCATGCTCAGTGAAAGCAAACATTATAGCTCCTGAAGATGTGAGGGTCAGTAACCCTAGTTATTTTTTCTCTTATCTATTGTTTGCATAAGACTGTAAGTACTAAAGAGACAGATAAAGTCTTGGAAGTCTATTACTTCCCAAAGTGTGCATGAGATGGTTTATACTAGTAAAAGTCTGGGAATGTACTAATGATACCTCTGTGCTAGCAGTAACTGCTTGATGATAAGTTCCTAGCGTCTTTATCAAGGGCAAAGCTGTAAGATTACAGCTACTCCTCAGAGTGAAATCAGTAGCTGCTGCTGACTTCAATATGTAAAAGTTTTGGAAAGCTAGTGTACAAAGCTAAATATTGCAACTTCGATAACAATTTCCAAATAGAAAAAGAACTCCAGTACTATATTGGCCTTAACTTTTTCCAGAATGTAATCAAAATTATTTCCAAGACGTTAAACTGATCATTTGACAGTGATACCTACCTAATTATTGGTTACCCTGGTTTATTGGTGTTAGATAAAGAGTTCTACTTCATTGAATATGTAAGGGTATTAAGATAAAAAGAATTAAGATGTGAAATTATATATAGAGAGAGATTTTAAAATGTGGATAGATTGTCTGCCAGTATTAACTTTAAATATAGACTGATATGATCTTTTCATATTTACACAAAAATAACCACCCAATAAATCTATTAGAGGATTTACGTAATTTTAAAAGAATAAAATCCAAACTAGTTTACTTTTTTTAATGTACATATTTTGATATAACCCCCCTATGTTTATAAAATAGGCATATATTTTGTGTAGGCCTGTTACATTAGTTAAGTGTTCATGAATACAGATCTTTCCTTTTAACAGAACATTTCCATACCTGTGGACACTTCATTTGCTGTTGCTCTTTGCTGTCAGTTTAAAGGTGATTTCTGAACTAGAGCTATGGTGATATTTTTATACAACTTTAAATCATTTCAGTTCTGATGATTGAACAGATAACTAATCTACTTAGTTAATGATCAATCTAATTTACCAAGTTCCTAAATGTTGAGAGTTAAAAATAAATTCTTTTTTACATAATTTTACAAATCAATTGATAGAGATTGTGTTTAATTATTAATCAGAGATTAATTATTTTAAAATTGTATAGTTTATGTAATGTTTAAAACTGGTTGGAAGCTGAAAAGTATCAAATGAAGAGGGTGTTATATATAAACATATATCAATAAATATTGTAGAAAATCTCCTCCACAATCTGCCCTGTACTTTATAAAGTTAAGTGATTATGCAATAAACTTCGGCTAATCAGAGACACTGAAAGGATACGAATAGTAGACTTAAAATAGCATATAGTTTTCCTTCGTTAGGGATAAGAATTAATGGTTGGAATGCAGAGAGAGGAGGAATGTATTTGAAGGGTTAAATGTCCATTTCTTCAATTGTTTTCGAATAGAGCATTTTTTTCATCTATTAACTGCCCATATCAATGACTTAAGTAGAACTTGAATGAAAATAATTTGAAGAATTAGCCCTTATTGATTTTCCATATTTGCCTCTCTAAGATAAGAAATGACTAAAGAGAAATTCTGAAGGTATTAGAAAAGGTATTACAAATTTGAATATGCTGTCAACATAAATTCTTTTTTTGAAAGTAATAAAAATGAATTCTTTGATCTTCATCTGTTGGTTGAATGTATATTTTCCTTACCAGCTTTTTCTTCATATATGCCATTTTTTTCAAATAGATATGACTGTGTTTAATTACATTGTGCCTTCCATAAATAGGTTATTTCTATATTAGATATTTTAGGGTTTATGTGTTGTTTTTTAATATTTGTAACTACTGATTATGTTAAATACTCATTGGACAGCACCTTTGCAGTAGCCTCTACAGTGTACACTGAATGTAAATCACATTCATAAGGATAGCTTATAAATCACAATACCACATTCTGTCATTTAATCAATTCTTAAGATTTTAAATAAAGTAAGAATCTCTTGTAGGATATCAGAGTTATGTGGTGCTTTGAATGCAGGCGTCACTAGATTTTTCTGTGGAGTGTGTTATTTATTTTTTGTACTTTCAGGTCATGTTTCCTTAAGAAAGCTCACAAATCATGGATTTCCCAGTAATTTCATTCTGGTGCTGATATGATCCATGCTTTATAAGCTTCAGCAATGGTACTGTATAAAGACTGTCACAATCCAATTGCTGGAGCTTTTCTTTCTTATTTTCAGTTGTTTTGTTGTCTTGCAGCAGGATGCCTTCTGATCATATTTGTGGATATATGGATGTAGAGATTATATAGAATGAACTAAAGAAGGTTTTATCATAATAGAAAACATTATTCTATATTAGGTTCAGTATAGCAAACAAACAAAAACCCTGTAGCTCAGGAAGGGGCAAACCTAGGGTCTTTGTGGTATATTTGACCAAATCTTCTCATCATGCCTCATCATTGGTAATGCCAACCATGTTTCAGGAGTTGACATTCGGTATAACCTAAAGTAGAGCAGAAAATGTATTTGCTTATCCTGGTACATTGAGTTTTAGCAGATGACTTTCTTAGGACTATCTCTTGTTTGAATTATTATGCATCAAAGGCCCAAGAAGCAAGTATTGACTAAATGTAACTTTGTGTTCTTATAAAACAAGCAAACAAACATCTAGCTAAAATCAACTGTACTTGGTTTTATATAATTCCACTGAATTTTCCTTTTACTTAATTTAACAGGTTTTACATTTATAAAACATTAGCACATTTTTACAAATAATTACAGTGATACTCACCTAGTTATTTTTCCACATCTGTTTGCCCAAATAATTTTCATTTATCTAGACAATTTGGGGAAAACCAGGAAGGATTGGCCTGTGAAGAGCAATGGATTAGGAATAATCTGGACAATTCATACATGTTTTTGCTTTTCAATAAGGCCTCCTCATACTTTGCTTTATGTATTATGGGAGCTGATCTGATGTAATATTAAGGCTTGTTCTATCAGACAGGATATAGAAGTCATGATCTTCCATATAGATTGAACTCAATATGACTTCCAACCAGGTAGAATATATTTCTTGGAGAGGGAAAATTCAGGAAAGGTAGCAAATGTTGTTTCAGCACTTCTGTACTGTCCAGTGGGATTTTGGAATAATCAGAACATACTGATACTTGATCACTACAACTATATTACTTAAAAAAGATGCAACTTCCAAGTGGTCTTTAAAGAGAACTTCATGTAGAGTGCACAGTGCAGTAATCAAGACAAACAGTGATTAAAGGGTAAATGATTGTGGGTAGGCCCCCCAATCTAGGGACTGGTGCATTTGGTACACTGATGCATTGCTATCCATACACTAGACAGATTTGTGCAAAAACCTTCCTGGCCACAATAACTGATTTCTCCTTAAGCAGGGCCTGTGAATCCAGGAAAGTCCTCAAAATGCATACCTGTTTGGTTTGGACGTGTGTAATTATATTCAGAGTTAAGGATAGAAAAACTCTGGGAGTGTGAGGATGACCATGAACATAGAGCTATTAGGTTTTGTCAAGGTTGAGTCTATCCTTCCCTATCCAGACACTCCTTGTACCATGCACCAAGGCAAGACTTTGACAATATCACTTGGTCAACCAGGTTGATATATACAATCAATACATCAGCTAACCAATGACACTGACCCTGTGCTGACAAGTAACCTCATCCAGTAGCCTCATGTAAACAGGGAGAAGTATGTGTGAGCCTGCTGCCACACATATTAAGGAGATAGGGTCAAATTCCTTTCCACCCCATCAATACTGTCTGGACTGATCCCTGAAGAAAGAGGAGAATCCACTGCCAAATCATGCCTCTCATTTCCAGCGCTTGTAGTCAGTCCAGAAAATATTGTGGCATATTATCTAACAATGTTGATGATGATGATGATGATATATCCTAATGTTTTGCATTTCTGATTCTGTTTGAATTCATTATCAGTTCAAGTGTAAACACTTTTCTGCAAACAAATGAATTGGAGAGTGTGATATTCAAACTCTGTTAAAACCTTGTCAGAAATTTAAGATTTATCTTAAATTGGTTAATTGATTCTCCCCCCCCAAAAATTATTTATTATTTACAAGTATGAATTAGTAGTTGCTTACAACTGTTTAAACAAATGTGAAGGTTCATAGATATCCCTGTGTTATCTTTCAAGGGAAATGGAGATATGCCATCTTGCTGAGAGAGCATTTGAGTGGGACTAGTACTAGGATTTGAAATTCCAGCATCTTCAGTAAGAAAATTTTGCTGTTTGTGTACATTTGTATAAAACATTTCCACTTCAAGCATCCATGTAAATTTTGTGAATAGTTAAATGCAACATGCAAACAACTTTTATGTCTCAAGGTGCTTTTTCAAAAGGCAGCTGGGTTTTCTTTGTTTTGCTTGAAGATGTTTTACTTTTCATACAAGAAGCTTCTTCAGTTCAAAAAGCACCCTTGGAACAACCATGACCTGGATGCCTGAAAATCTTCATAGATAAACAATTTTTATATTTTGAAAATAAAGGTATGAGATATTAAGTAAAGATTGAGTGTTTGTGGGGTTATGTAGAGAAATCAAAAGCAATCCTATTGTTATTTACATAGGCTACAATTGTACACAATTTATCTGGAAATAAATTCATTAAATTTAG